ATTTCTCCTGTAGAAGCTTGCATGCGGCTGCTCAACTTCACAATTCAGGGGAAACCCCACGCGGTCACGCAGCTCACGGTACACCTGGAAGATGGGCAGACCGTGTTCTTCAGAGCGGCGGAAAATCCCGATGCGGTCGAGCCTGGGAGCTGACTCGAGTTTTCGAACTGTGTGCGAGCGAGGCGCCTGAGAACCAGATTGCCAAGATCATGTTATATCAGGACATTCCCCAAAAGTTCTACTGGAAAGAGCCGAGTAAGGTTCAGCCTAAAAGGTAGATTCGGCGGACAAAGTATCAAGCGGCAATTGGACGCATGATCCACGTGTCCCTGAGAGATATTGAGCGCTTCTACCTCCGCTTATTGCTCTGTAATCGAAGAGGCCCTACATCCTTCGAGGACTTGAGAATTGTTAACGGGGTCGTCTGTCGTACATTCCAAATTGCCGCACGGGAGGCTGGCTACTTGGAGAACGATAGTGAGTGGATCTCCGTAGTCCGCCGAAGCGAAGCGGACGCGGACGGCCCTAATAACCGGGAATAAAATCTGCCACCACCTCCGAGAAGCGGCGGCGCTCGGCTAGTCTTAAACATCAACGCTAGCACGGTGTCTGTCCGTCCGTCACGAAATTCGAGTGAAATTTCATTTGCTGCCGAGCGGAGCGAAGGCGGCCCGCTTGGTTAAAATTAGTTTATGTGGCATGCAATATTAACTTTGTGTGGTGATATTGTACATATGGAGTTCCTAGCAAGACGTCGCAAGTCTACCCGCTCTAAGTTGCAAAGCGAAACGAAGGCGGCATCGATAAAAATAATAATTTTTTAGTAACGCTTTTTTTTTTTTATCTATTTCGTACGCTGCCGTGGAACGAGAGCTTGCTAGGACCCTGTGAGGGTATACATAGTAACGATTCCCTGTAGTTTGAGTCTGAAGTACTTGATACCGACACGTCAGGTTAGCTACGAGTTAAATGGAGGGTTATAATTAACTTTTGTTTTTAACTAGGCCCTAAACCGTTATCTAGATAAGGCACTGTCGATGTTATACGCTTTACGGGTAAACCTGCACTACCAGCATGTCCGCAATAAGAACATGGTTGCTAATAGACATAAGTATATTCGAACCATAATGACAGGCAGTTCCAGATACAATAACCGCTACTAACACATCATATAGAAGTAACATGATCATAATCTCTATAGAGGTTTTAGCTTTGGTCACAGCAAGGAATTGGAATATTAACCCGAAGAAACAAACACTAATAAAACAATCTCCGACAGACTGATCGTTATTCGTATGGACTCGAACCTCTAACTTATTTCACAACAAGATCAACAGCGTGAATATTATAGTAATTATAATAACGTTCTAAAATTGCTAGAATGCAGGTTTTGTTGACAAAAAGCTACGATAACGAGCAGAGAGTGAATGCGACGACTGTTGCGTTACTATGATGGGGTGCTTTATTAATCCATTGGGTGCCTTCCAAAATTGCCTTAAACAGGTGTCATAACTGCAGCAACTAATGCTGCCATATATTGGTCTTTAAGTCAACATAAATTTCAAAAGGTCCACCACAAATACCAAAAACTGGCTTTTGTGTCCTGTTGATAATGTCCCTAACTCTCTTACAAATACAAAAGGATATAAGTGTACCCGCCACTTTGCGTCGGACACGTCTCGGCAAGACCCCCCCCCCCTGCCGCACTTTGGATTTGCGTACGTCTGAAGAAGAATGGACGACGAGGAGACGGACGTCCTGCTGGTTGTAGTGGAAGCATTTGAGCGCCAGAAAAAAGAGCTACAGGAGGCGAGGTGAGAGGTCTTTAAATTCCTCATGGACGAGGCTTGGTGCGCTGCCATGCGCAGCCGCCACTACTTGACAGGTTGCTGCCAGGTGTTTTCGTCTTCGCTGTCCACCACACAGCGAAACTCCCAGTGCAATCTGGAGTGCCTCACGTGCACCATGGCTCCTGAAGATAAATACAAGGATGTTTAATAAGACATGGATAAAATTTCATTGCTTGCAACCCACTTCCTTTCGGTCTTGGCAAAATCGAAAGTGATTGCCAACTTGAAGTGGCGGAAATTTATGTTATGTCGCTGAATTCTACCAGAGTGATGGTCAACGTAAAGTATACAATTTTCTATAGTATAAATTAAGATGGCTACATGACATATATCTAGGGGTAGGTTAGTCTCGTGAGACGTAAATATCGTCTCATGAGAATTTATGTCTTCATAAACTTTGACATAACTGCAGCAGATATGACACCTGTTTATGCTATTTTTGGAAGGCATCCATTAATGGTTAACGAACTCAAACTCACTGTAAACGTGGACGCTTAATCAATAGCCAAATAATTGAGAGAGAGAGAGAGAGAGAGAGAAAGAGAGAGAGAGAGAGAGAGAGAGAGAGCCTTAACCATATCGGTAGTTGAGCGCAAAGTCACTTTGCTGAAACCTGTGCCTGTGTGCTGCTGTCAGCATAGCTATTTGAGAGTAGTTCTATAAGAACGGTAGGCGGTGTGAAACAACGATACTAGCATGCAAAACAAAGCAAGTAAATATTATTTCGTTTTGTGGGGTATTGTTCGAACAATCTAACGAACCGTGGAAACACTCCAGACAGAATAGTGCAAAGTCATAAAGAAGTGTATATATAAACAATAAAAGGTTTGTTAATAATGTTAGAGCATAAAACTATCACTAAATACTCCTAAATAAAGTGTATAACACAAGGAATGATAGAAAAAATGTACTTTAACGTGTTGGTATTGTTATATGCAGGAGGCTATAGTACAAAGCACATTACACCTACGGGCTGCAGTGATCGCCTTGAGATTTAGACATGACAAATATTGTTATGAAACGATAATAATTTGTAGGGTTAAATAAAGTAAATGGGTAAAATGGAGTATTTAAATGTAGTCGATAAATGGGTAAAGGCAATTTTTATGGGTAATCGATAAACAAATGGGGCTTAAAAAGGAGTATAATCCATACGAAGCGAAGCGAAGGCGGGAAAGGCCTGAACAACTGCAACCTAACATAAATTACGGCCGCGTAGCGGTGGCGCTCCGCTAATCCACAATGATAAGGAGAGCCCTTGATGTCAAGCACCCAATATACAGTATCAAGGAAGCTATTGCGGCGTTATTATGCTCATATACCGGATTTCATATGGCGACAGAGCTCCGTGCGAACAGAGTTGGTCAGCAAGCGTTGTCGCTAACTATTACTCGAAGAATTCAACCTTTCTGAACAACCCAATGCTGCTATTATTATTAGTATCACTTAATTTCATCGTCGAAGCAAGCCCCACTCCGGCTTCTCCCAGCGGCATCGGAGCAGCGGTCCTCCGTTAGCATGGACTTCGTGTTCGGTCTACCCCGCGACACCCAAGGTCGAGCTGGCATCCACGTCGTTGTCGACCACTTCAGCAAGATGATCCAACTTGTCCCTGTTGCAGCAGCCATCACCACGGCGCAGATAGCTGCGATCTTTCTGGATCTCGTGTACCGCCCCCGTGACTTACCGGCGTCGATCGCCTCCGATCGCGATCCTCGCTGAACCTCCGCTTGCTCGTTCGAAGTCTTCCAGCTCGTCGGGACGCGGTGGAAGATATCCAGCGCGCCACACCCAGAGACGGATGGCCAAACCGAGCGAGCGAACCGAGGCCTTGAAGACGGTCTGAAGGGCTACGCCACGTCGTTCGAGTCATGGAGTTATCTCTCGCCTATGGTAGGTTTCGCACTCAGTAACGCAGTTTAGGCACCATTCTACGTGAACTATGAGCATCATTCCGTCCCTGTCCTCATCGGGATGGACACTTTCCCTATCCGACACGGACACGGGCGCGCACAGTGGCGTGTAGATCCAGACGTTATCCCTAATAAAAAAATCCGGTATCGCCTTTTAGAATCTGTGCTTTGGAAAAGATACACTCAGGATTGCAAAAGGGCGAAGAGATAGAAATCAGTAGCGACGACGAACAGGGACAAGCAGAGGATGTATTTTGTGATTTCTATCGAGAAAGCTGTAGAATTCAAGAGATCCGTTGGAAGCAATGCAGTGGCTGTGAAATATACAAGACATTTGTTGCAACACGGTTCTATCTTGCACACGGCTAAGTGGAGATATAAAGCCAATAGTTGGAGATCCTGCTCGACCACAAGCTACGCTACTACATTTGTTGGATACATGGCCCACTACATCTATTACAGCCTTTGGCTTCGATCTATTCTACTCCGACCTGTACTGCTTACGTGTGACAGAGCCCTGTCACACGGTTGCCACCGTGAGTGCACGGTGGCCAATCAGATCCCAAAGCTAGAGTTAAGAGTTAATGGCTGTGAGGGCCTTGATGCCTTCACGTTAATCAACCAGAGTTTAATTTACTTGCTTCGTTTCACTACAGTGTGGGCTTGGTAACGGGTTGTCCTTAGCCAGTTACACCTGGTAGCACTTTGTATTCCGTCCAACGCCAAAGATGAATGACACGTCGATGAACGACGCGTCCAAGATGATCACCACGTCGCTCGAGCATACCAGCTTCCCCCATCTCTCGTCGATTGAATGGGAAGCGCTTCACCGCCTCGCCGCTGCATCCGGCGAAACTGTCATCCAGGCGCTACTCACGGCCGACTCGGAAGACCAACAACACTGGCCGCTCATGAACTCGCAGAACTACGTCTGCGACTGTCGACTCCCACGCCGTCCAAGAACAAAACTGACATCGTCAAGTTCGATGACTTCACCTACAATGACGAAGGCGACAGACGCCTTCACCTAAGCCGGTGGTTCTGCGAGGTGGACATCGCAGTTGAAGCTCGGCAGTTGTCCACCGAGGTTGCGAGGATTCGCTTTCTCCTCTCCAAACCAGGTGGCAAAGCGAAGGAGTGGGCGCTCGGTAAGCATGTCGCTGACCCCGCTTGCCTCCCAACGATGACGTCCATGAAGAACGACCTACGGCTCGCATTCGAGCCAACGCAGGACGAGACTGCTCAACGGTCTGCTTTCCTTTCCTTGAAGCAGGGACGCTTGTTCATGCTCGAGTATATTCAACGAGCACGACACCTGGTGTCGTGCATCACAACTAACCCAGTCGACATGGCGACCCAGGTCCACGTCTTCGTCTCCGGGATGATTACCAGCGTTCCTATTTGACAAAGAAGACCCCGAGCACTCTCGAAGAGGCCTTCGCGATTGATTTACGCGAAGACTACAGCTCCCCGGCGTCGCAAGCGTTTGACGTCTTACGGCCTCTCGTACCTGAACCTGGACCAGAGCCGATGGAAGTGGAAGCAATCCAGCACTATAGCGGCCGTCCTGCTCCGGCTCGACCTTCGATGCGCACACCGCCCCCGTTGCGTTGCTTCCGTTGCAAGAAACCTGGACATCGCGCGGCAGTGTGCCGCACGCCAACTCCGGTTGTGGCGAACGTCACAGCCCACGACGAAGTCGCCATTACTTCTGCAAAAAAAACGGCGACGACCCGTATGTGTAAGGCGCCCTACTGGATCTAGAGGGAGGGATGGTCCTCTGGTGGCAGGACCCCCTCCTAGCCCACTTGTGCTTTGTGCACATCTAACAGCCACCACCTCCGGGAGCGACTCGACTCAGTCTTGCCGTCGAAGGAGCTCAACGCCCCTTCCGCGCTCTGCTGGATTCTTGCGCGACGAACAACTTCGTTCGCGACGATAGTTTGTCGGTGTTACCGGCGGACACTACTATACGTGAAGGTCCTGGCGATATGGTCGTCAAGTATGCTGACGGCAAGCCGCAGCAACTACCGCGGCGCTCTGTCTCCTTTGCTTACGAGTTCGATGGATTGCAGGGGTCGGATGACTTCCTGGTGATCGAACTTGGCGACGCCTTTGATTGTATCTTCGGTATCCCATGGCTTGCTCGCCACCAACCTCACATTGACTGGTTGAGAAGAACTTTCCGTCCACGCGACATCGACGTGAACGCTGTGTTGGCATCCCTGAGCGGGGCCCTTAATCATTGTCCACATGTTGCAGTCATGGGCCCTGCCTCCATGACCACTATTGACTCCGAAGTGTGCGATGGCCCTTCGTGTGCGGTTCGTGAGTGCGTAGTCCTGAGCCAATAACTCAGGACACATATGACGCGGTCGAGCATGGGTTCCCGTGTCACGGTGAGCAGAGGTTCCCGACGAGTGAATACGACGTGGTTGAGCATGCCCCCCCCCCCCCCCCCCCACACACACACACACGCGGCCGAACAGAGGTTCCCGCGGGCGGTCGAGCGGGAACTCCCACACCGAGAAATGAAAGTGGCAGATAGTAGTCTCCTATGCGCGTACGAGCAGAGGTTCCCGGGGTGGTTGAGCGAGAGCTCCTTGGCGAAGAAAATGTGGTAGAGCGTGCACTTCCACTTGCGGTCGAGCGTGTGCCCCCGCCCGTGGTAGAGTGGGAGCTTCCTGAAGAAGACGAAGGTGCGCTCACCTCGAGCACACAGTGCCTCGGTGCCGAGGTCATGACGCGATGCCCCCTCATACTGACTCACTTGAGCCCGACCTCTCGTTGTCTGCAGGGGATGGTGATACTCGCCCTGTCCGTCGTCCGGATCGTCGGAAACCGCGACGTTCTCGCACAGCTTCACTGGACTCAGCTCCGCCTAAGTCCGAAGTCATCTCGGTCCTGATGAAAAACGATACACTCGAGGTTCCCCGAGTACACGATATCGAGGTCGCAAGCCCTCCGTGCGACGCGAATGAGATCACTCAATTGCCTGGTCTGTCGTGGAAACACTTCCTCCGCGAGCTGAAGCACGGTGAGATCGAACTAGTCTGCATGATTGTGACGGATAATTCCGCCGCCATAGCGGCAGTCGAAACTGAATTCACAGAACCGGCGTCCGACATCAAGCAGAGCCGAAGACGGCCCGTGAGGCGCGCTACGCCGCTCAATCATTGGCGGCACTCGAGGCCGCTGGCAATCCAGTCGCCCCTCTTGTTCGTGAGTTTATTGACATTGTCCCCGACAAGGTCCCAGCAGTATTCCCCCCCCCCCCTGGTGTGCGGCACGCGACCGATCTCGTGCCCGGAGCGAAGTGTTGTGTGACGCGGCAGTGGCCACTTCCCCGCGACGAAGTCGAAGCAATAGACGCCTTCTTCGAGAATCGTCGGCAAGCCGGCCATGTCCGTGAAAGTCTGTTGCCACACTCCAGCCCGACATTTTGCGTGAAGAAAACAACCGGTGCATGGCGCATTGTCCACGCCATCAACAAGCTCAATGGCACCACCATCCCGGCACAGACGCCAATTTCTTGAAAGGACATGGTACTCGACACCTTGTCAGGTAGTACCACGTATAGTGCCATTGACTTAATGGATGGCTTCTATCAGATTTTGATGCGTGAAGGGGATGTGCCACAGACAGCCGTCAGCACGCCCAGCGACATGCTCTCGGAATGGCTGGTTATACCCCAGGGGATGAAGAATGCCCCTGCCACCTTCAATCGCATAGTATCGAATTTGCTGCGACCCCTCCGAGACTTCGCGCCTAGCTACTTTGATGACTTTTTCATTCACAGTCGTGCCGAGGGCGGCATGACGGACGTTGAAGTACACTTGGGGCAACTTTGTCAGGTGTTCGTCGTCATGCGGTAAAACAAGCTGTACGCCAACTTAAAGAAGTGCATCCCGAGATTCCAGTACGTCAGCAAGGATGGCGTCCGTGCTGACCCAGAAAAGATTGAGGTGATCTGGTGCTTGGCCGGCGCCACAACACCAGCAACTGTGCCAGTGTCTGGGCTGTAACGGGGTTACACGCAAGTGGCTCCATGTAACCACTTGACTACGACAATGGGTGTCACGTTGGTGTGAGATACACCAATGGTTACATTTGACAGACCACTGGTCTGTGTGCATTTAGATTTCCTATTGGTTGAAAGGCGATATCTTTCAACCAATTAGCTTAGCAGGATTCTGTCAACCACTCCTTGGCAAATACCTTTCATTTAGAATGTCACTTTAGGAGGAAACCCAAACACAAAATATAAGCATAAATAACAGTTCTCATTCTTACGGTAAATCGGTTTTTGCTTGCTTATTCAAGTAATTATATACTTACGAGACGTAAGTATAGTTAATCTAAGTTTAAGCAAACTACTCTTCCTCACACACGTGCGTTAACGTGTAAGCCGAAGTAGTGGACACACAGTGAGCCCATTACATGGGCCTTGAGACCTATCTCCACCACTACTCGAAGAGCTTCGCTGCGACGGTTCGCCCATTGTCGCAGCTCCTTAAGCTGATGTCACGTGGTTGTGGCGTCCCGAACACCAGGCTGCGATTGACTCGGCGAAACAGAGCTTATCCACCGCACCCGTCCTCATACTTCCTGATCACTCATTCCACGTTGTCTGCAACGCAAGCGACTTTGCGATCGGCTGCGCCCTGGTGCAATTAGACGACGAAGGCCACGAGCGGGTCGTGAGCAACCATTCGCGCCAGCTGAAGCCGGCGGGACGCAGCTATACAGTTCACGACAGGGAACTACTGGCCATGCGCTACGTATTGATCAAGTTCCGCGTCAATCTCCTTGGAGAGTAGATCTTTGCAATCTACACGGATGACGCGTCGCTACGGACAGCGACGAAGAGCCCTCATCTGCCCCAGTGCATGGCGCGCTGGCTCTCGCTGTTCTCCGAGTACAACTTTGTTGTTCACTACAAGCCTGGTAAACCAACATCCTCGCCTGCGCGACAGCGCGTCGGCCAGGCTACGTGCAGTCGGGTCGCCACGCTGTTCGCGACGAGGATGAAAACGGTTGTGCAGTGTGCAGTGTGCACAACTGAAGAGCAGACAGCAGTCGCAGTTACTGCTAACAGTCCTCTCCGTGACTTGATCGCGTCCGCGTATGAGTCGAACGCTGTGTGCATAGAAATTATCAAGTACTTGACGGATCCATCCACCGCGGCGCGGCGTCAATTATCCCCACGCGGTCGCGCCCGTATTGACCGCTACGCGCTCGACAGGAACCTGCTAACATTTTGCATCGACCGCTCGGACCCTCCACGCGTCGTCGTCTCGCTAGACGATGGCCTACCCGCTCGCCTGATTCACGAGTTCCATGATACTCCCAGTGGCGGTCACTTCGGTCGCGAGAAGACGTTTGCGTCGTTGTCTCGCGACTACTACTGGCCGCACATGTACAAATGGGTGCGGAAGTGGGTCCGCTCCTGTGAGGCGTGCCAAAGGGTGAAGCCTTCAGCGGCGAAGCAGGCGCCGCTTCATCCTCTTCCGGTTGCAGATGCACCGTGGTCCTCCGTGGGCATGGACTTTTTCTTTGGATTGCCTCGGGATGGCCAAGGCCACACTGGTATCCTCGTCTTTGCTGATCGGTTTAGCAAGATGGTTCATCTTGCTCCTGTGGCTGCTTCCATCACCGCTCAACGATCTGCGGCGATCTTCGTCGATACTGTCTATCGACACCACGGCCTTCCAATCTCGATCGTATTTGATCGAGATCCTCGCTTCACTGCCACTTTCTGGAGAGAACTGTGGTGGAGTGGGGTTCGCAAAATTGCGTTGCGATCCACTCAGACACACAGTACCCTGGACTGCCGACTGACGGAGGGGGTACTCCGATAACCGTGGGGTTGCTGAGGGCTCACCTTGTGTACCCGTCGGCGGGGCTGGCTACACTCCTCTGGTGGACTCGATGAGAGGCTTGGCCGTGGGTTGGTCTCGTCTTGGCGGGACGCGGGATGGTTTGGGGTTTGGCGTAACGTGGATACTCTTCAGGCTACGCGCCAGGTAGGTAGTCGATCTTGATCGACTTGGGGTGTGCTTGTTCCTTTACGGGGGGTTCCTTGTTCCTTTACTTGCGAGGCTTGACCGCTTTCTATAGCGGGGGAGTTGGGGGCGAGAGTGGAGACGATCTACCGGCCAAGCTGCAAACTCTGGTGATTGACGCGTGTCCTTGGTAGAAGTCTTGAACCGAAGACACTTGTTCTAAATGAGGCAAATTCCACTCTGTTATTCCTTTAAGTCCTATCGGTCCAATACCTTCTGTCCATCCTATACTGCCCTTTCTATCCCCTCTGTAGCCTGGTCGCGTGGTACTAGCCGTGGGTACAAATCAGATGATGTGTCATCAGTGGATCGTGTCCTTGTCGGTCGATCGTGTACCCAAATGATTGCATCATGTCGATCCACTCCGGTGATTGCGTAATCCTCACCGATGATGACGTAATCACTGACGCACCGTCGTCGACCATGAGTCTCAGGGCTGGATCGGGTCGCTTCCCATCAACCAGTTTTCTTATTCACGAAAGCCAACTGGCGCTTCACCACAGAACTATTCCGGTTAGTGGGAGCGCGGCTGTTAATGTCCACCGCGTCACACCTGGAAACAGACGGCCAAACGGAGCGCGTCAACCGCGTTGTTGAGGACGTGCTGCGGAGTTTTGCGTCTTTTAAGTCGTGGAGCTCTTTCGTCCCCATGGTCGAGTTTGCGGTCAACAATGCTGAGCACGCGTCGGCGGATCACACCCCGTTCTATATCAACTTCGGGCGGCATCCTCGCGTTCCAGCGCTCCTTGGTGTTGAGCGCTCCTCCTCCGCTTCTGATGCCACCCTGGTGCCCCTCCCCGTGGTGGGGTGGCTCCGGCCTCTATCAGCGCGGCACTGCCCCTGACGAGACCGCGCTCCTGAACGGTGTTACCACGCGAAGCAGCGCTGCTGCAACCACGTCTGTTATGCCCACACGCGCCGCTACAAGGGCGGCGCAAGGGCGGGCCCAGTCATCTCACCACGGTCAACTCCCACCCGGAGCGACTGGACCAGTGGCACAGAGTGTCGCCAACTAGACTTCAAGGACATTGATCTCCCCACGGTGCCGTCGAGCTGTCGCCGTCGAGCTGTGGAGTATCGTGATGTCCCTGACGGCTAACTTCGCTCTTCTTCCCGCGCCGCAGCCTCGAGTTGCTGTGGCTGTTCATACCTTCCTTCATCAGCGCAAGTGTGTAACTCGTTACGCTCCGGACTCCATCGCAACGGCAGTCGGCTGTCAAAATGAATATGCGGACCGGTGTGGACACCGGAACATGGATACGTTCGCCGTTGGCGACCGTGTGTTGTTGTCTACAAAGGGGGTTCATTAGTCTGTTGTGATTAATTTGAGCGCGAATTAGCTCGCGCCGAGTTTATTTGGACCATTCAAAGTCACGAAGGTATTAGGGGATACTAAGCCGCTCCTACTTCTTACCGCTCTACGCCTCCATCCTACCTTCTACGTCGGACGACTCCGACGTTATCACCCGCCCACCATCCCTAGCGCCGACGATAACCCCGCGCCTCCGCCTCCCATCAATCGTGGTTCCCCCGCTCAGGGCGCGGAGGCTCCTCCAGCTCCCTGCGCAGCTCCGCCATCTCGCGTTCCAGACGACTCAACCGCTCCATCGCGCGCTGCCGGCTTCGGACAGCCTCGGCCTCCTCGCGCTGGTCACGCTGCACGGTTCCAGCGTGACGGCCCTGCACCACTTGTTGATAGTGATGGCCACGTCCTTCATATCGTGGAGGTGATCTTGGGGCACGACGATCATCGTGCCGCTCCCCAGTGTACGCGTTCGGGTCGCGGGGCTCCCGCCCGCGACGACCCCATCCCTCTGCACCGCCAGTATCTCGTGCGTTGGCTTGGCCCAATGGCCTATATCTGGGAGCATCGAGTAGTGCGTTCCGGACTGCGCGGAGGCGTACGGGGCAACGACTCCAGCGGCTGCAGGTCTTCCGGGTGGCGCGGCCGCCCACCGCGCCTAACATCGCTCATTGCCCTACGGTATTGCCCAACAAGTTCTCGCTCCGCCTCGGAGACTTGATATTTTTCCTGCTCCCATGCATCCCAGCTGGGTCTCGGGCGACCGTTTTCCGAACACCAGGTGTACCCACTGGTATAATCCACATAACAGCAGCCGCGATCAGCGTCATACGCTACCTTGTGAACTCGCCTTGCCAGCGCGCTTCATGCTCCGCTTCGCGTCTTTCAAGGGAGGGGATGAACCTAGTGGCGCCATCAGTGTTCCAGCGGTTCGCGAACGACGTCCACGCGTTGTCCAGCGAATTCAGTGTCACGGTCCGCGTCACCGCGACTGGCTTGCTGCGAGTCCGTTGGTGGTGGTGGAACAAGCTCCGCATCTCGTCGTCACTCAGCGGCTTGCGTATGCCGCTGTAATCGTACAAGGCCCACCTTCCTAACTCCTTCACGTATGTGTCGAAGTCTCCTGCGTCTGGCACGGGCCTGTTCTCTGTGTCTGCTTCTCCACCACCATCTGCCATTGATCCAGTGCTTCTGTCCTGTTGTTCTCCAGCTCAACTTGATTAGTGACCGCAACCGTAGCGGCCACGTGCGTATCTCCGAATCTTAGTAAGAGGTGGTGTGACAGGGCTCTGTCACACGGTTGCCACCGTGAGTGCACGGTGGCCAATCAGATCCCAAAACTAGAGTTAAGAGTTAATGGCTGTGACGGCCTTGATGCCGTCACGTCAATCAACCAGAGTTTAATTTACCTGCTTTCTTCACTACAGTGTGTGCTTGGTAACGGGTTGTCCTTAGCCCATTACATTGGTGATGCGTGGCTGAACGACAACGCAATGCGAGCGGCTGCTGCATTCCTGCGCGGGTTCAAGAACAACGCGGTAGTCGTCCTGCCACCTCCCAAAAAGAACCAAAAACAAACAGTACCTGATCCGACGTTGGAAGCCATTACTGCGATGGTCCAGACGCATGATTAAACTTGGAAAGACCTGTCGATTTCTGATTGCATTATTCTCTAGGGAAGTCAAGTGAAATAATGCCGACAGATTCTGGACTCAGTCACTTGCGAATGTTCGCGGCTAGCGCGCATACGTGTTGTCCATGGTTGAAATCTGGTTGAAACCGTAATATGCGCTGGAAATAAATTTCTTGCATATGATTCGGCCTCAAATCACGATACCTGGAAAGAACCTAGACTAAAACTAGGTCATACCTGGGATTATCAGAAGTCTGAGTATTTTTCCATAATCTGGAAAACCTGGATGAGATGGCTGCTCGATTTATCTCTATCAGAAAAAATTAATATTCGGTAATCTTTAGATGTCTATAGCTGGACTTTTCGTACGCAGTTCACTTGCACACCATAGGATTTAATTATGGATATGAGATGCTGCAGGTCAAATGCATAATGCATGCTCTTTTAATCGAACTCCACGGTGTAATCTACGAAGACGTGGTAGAATAACTCCGGCAGTAAGTAACAGGTAGCCACTATGTGCTCAAGGATAAAAGCAAAGCTCCGTTGTCAAGGGGCGGCAATGTATCCACACAGAGTGGCCTCCATAGCTGGTTGGACGTCGAGATGGCAATTACGCGACTCGGGGTACTACAAACTGAAGAATAACACAAGTTGGGGCGTCAACGTACCAACACTTTAGTTGTGCAATAGCAATAGAATGTTTCAGTACACTTTTCTTGATGCTAACACGCATGCGAACTTATGGTTGCAACTGGTTCTAATACATTAGTACTGGATTATGGATATTCCTCCATTTTTTTTTTTTTTTTACCTACGTCGGGACACAACCTGTGTCCACGCTGAGGTATGCTGGCAGAAATCCAGTTTGTGCATCAACGCACAAAGTTTCTGACAAGCTTGATCCTGTGCATCAAGCACTGCAAGTTACTTACTACACTCCTGGCCAAATTAATCCGGCCACCCACACTTTGTACTGCCAATCAGTCAATATTTGGCATTTGGGGGTGCGCTTTTGATATGAGTTTTCTATTGCTTAGAGAAAGAAGGTGTGTGTGTTAACGATCGGGATTTCGCAGTTTGAAGGGTAGCTCCCATACAATAAACCGATTTGGGCATGTGGTCCAAACTTTCGGCCACCCTCGCCTAACCCTTTCCATAGTAAAGTCAAAACAAATGTAACGAAATGATTGTACTA